CACATCAAAAGCAGGGTCTGGGAGGTATATTGGTGGGGCCATGAGCCATGGAGATACTAAGGGGTCTGGTGGAACCCTGAGCCATAGGGGCTTTCCTTGGGCCAGGAGCTGATGTGGTGGCACATGCCTGTCATTCCAGTGGCTCTGGAGGCTGAGGCAGCATGAGTTCAAAGCCAGTCTTAGAAACAGCCAGGCGCTAAGCAACTCAGTGAGACCCTGTCTCTAAATGGAATAGAAAATAGGGCTGGGGACGTGGCTCCTAGAGCTGGGGTCGTGGCTCCGTGGTTGTTGAGCGCCCCTGAGAGTTTAATCCCGAACCAAAAAAAAAAAAAATGTTTCTCTCCTTTTGGCCTCATCCCAATTGTTAAAAAAAACTTAGAGAGCTGTATCTAAAAGTAACTGCTGAGGAGACTCAAGGCCCTTTTCTAACTCTCTGCGTCTCTTGTAGATGTCAGGTGCAGACCCACTGATAAAGTTAAATGGAGAAGAGACTGCCAAAGGACTGTTCACGTCCAAATTTGTATATTTGGTGACAACCTGAGTTAAGTGGGGCCAAAAATAAAGTGAGATTTTTATCAGGTCCCTGGATAATTTCCTTTCTCTCTTTCCAATTAACTTGGGTGTGAGAATTCTTTGTCATTCCTTCAAGGAGGCAACTGACCTGTGTTGAGGTCTAATGACACCCCCCCACCCCCCCACCCCGTCTTGGAGGCTGATAAGTCCAATCAGGTCCAACTGCTGGGATGCTGGGATAGCATCATCGGCTGCTGGATGGATACCAGGGGTTTGGGCCACTAAGGAGGTCCGCATGATCTCTGGCGGCCTGCCAAATGCAGGCACGGTCACCATTGGTCAGGGTGGATGTTAACATATAGTATTTATCTGCCCAAGTCAGGGAAGGCCTGAGTCAGACGGGCAAACTCTTTCCAGGTGTGTTCTCTATATGGGACATGTCTGTCATGGAGAAGGGAACATGGACCGGGACCATACCTTCAGCCCCTGCCACCTCCCAGAGAGGGAACATGTGTTTCACTGGGAGATTTTTAGACCCTGTACGGGTAGGGGATGGCAGGGAAGAGGGTGAACTTGTGTGCGGGAGGTGGATCTGATGGCGGGGGGATGGGGGGTCAGCTGTGGGAGCAGTGGGGCTGGGGGTGGGGAATTTGGGGGGCAGATGAACCCCCCAGGATCTGTAAGGAGGGAGTTCATCTGCTATTTCTGGGACTGTAACTGAGAAAGAAAATTGTGAGTCCCTAAAGAATTAATTGCAAAGTGGGACAAGGTTTGTATAATGAGGCCTTTGAGGAATATAATGAGGCCTAGGACCTCACACCATCTGCCAAAACCAAGTTTTAAAAATTTTTGTAGAATTTCTTGATCAAAGGCTCCATATTTGGGCCATTTGTGCAGATTATCTAGTATATATTGTGGCCCAACTTGAGTGCTGCTGAGCTTAATGAAGTGTTTGAGTTTCAGGACAGTTTGGGAGTAAAGGGTCTTAAACTTACTAATGAGACAACCCAAAGGGGGTCCTGTGGAACTGACTGACTGACTCCCATGTTGGGAGGCGTGACTGGGGTATTATCCCATTGAAACTAAAGGGTCTCCTGGATTCTTTCTGACACCGAGTTGGACACGGTCCCACCAGGAAATAGGGGAATGTCTTCACCCTAATTTCACTGGGGGGGGGGGATGCTGGAGTTCTAGTGGGCCAAAAGGCGGGGTCTCGAGCCTGGTACCAGTCTGTGGAGACCAGAGAGATGGACGGATGGAGTCTTACTTCTCTGGAGAATTTAAAGTCCCATGTTGGATTGCAGGAACAAAATGGCAAAGGGGTCTCTGATCTGGAGGTCTGCAGGGTATGGGGAAGGGGCGAGTGGGGGGAAGGTGGCCAGGGTTACGGGGAGGGGGTCAGAAAGAAGAAGCCTCTAGCACCAGTGAGGGGTTCCCTACAAATTCCTGCACCTTCCATCCACAGAGCATAGGCCGCCAAAACCAGCCCGGGGTCGAGGTGGGTTACGGGTCAGGGACCAGCAGCCAAAGTGCACTCATAGGTATGGAGGGTCCTTTTCTGTGGGGTGGGGCATGCACAGTCAGTTTGGGGATACAGCCATAGCTGCCCGAGGAACCGTGGCTGGGGGCGGTCCCCCGACCTCAGACAAATCAATGGTCACTGCCCAGGCCTCCTCCGCTGCTGAGCTGAACTGTGGGGAAAGCGAACAGGCTTGAGGGTGTGGGAAGGGCACATTTTACTCCTACCTGCTTTTCCCAGTTGGTGGAGGAACCCAAAGTGTAAGCACACAGGGACGCCCCCAGACCTCAGCATTCAGGGAAGCCTTCTCTTCTTGTGCAGACTGCAGCACCCTAGGGGCTCCTTTTCTGGAGGTGAAAATGGCTGTCGGTTACAGAGAGAATTTCAGTTTTTGAGGGTGGTTTGATCATGGGAATCTGTGGATGTGCCACTGAAAGAGTCAGCACACTGCAGAATGACCTCACCTTAAGTCGGTTCCTCCACCATGGCCCTGTTTCCAAACCAGTTCACCCTCTGTGGTTCTGAGGGTAACAGCGCCCACCTCTGACGTCTGCAGGGGATCACAGCCAGCCCTGAGGACACACCTGCTATAGTCTACATGCTATTGCATGGGGTCAGGGAAAGAGTCTGGAGACTTGGTGTGTGTGGGGGGGTGATAGAAGCCTGTATGTGTCTGGGAGAGCATTTAAAATGCGACTGTGGCAATCTGAACCCAATCTGAACCCCCTGGAAAGAGGGCCCCCAACTGGGGCAGGAGGCACCAGGAAGGCAGTCTTTTGCAAGAGATCCACCTCTGATCCTGACGCTATCTCCACATCAGGAAAAGTCCAGCCAGAGGCTCTTCTCGTAGAAGGTGCCAGAGTACCAGCAGGATTCTTGTCCAAAGTGGGTGGCACGGGGCTGAGGTTGTGGCTCAGTGGCAGAACGGCTGCCTCGCACATGTGAGGCACTGGGTTCGATCCTCAGCACCACATAAAAATAAATAGAACAAACAAACAAAAAAAAAGTGGGTGGCTCTCAAACAGGGGCTTGCCTCAGAATCCACTGCAGGTCTAACACAGGGCTGGGAACCACGCCCTGGGAACTTCGCAGGTCCAGGGGGAACCAGGACCCAGCTGGTGCCGATGGTGCATGGAGGGCCTCGCGGAGAATCTTGGCTTTGGGCTGTTTCTTGGGGGCCTAAAGATTCATCCTTGTGTCTTGACTCCAGGCCTCACTCAAAGCAGGTTTCTAAGAAGCCCTGACTTCAGAGCCCCTGAAGGACACCTTTGTGTAATAGTGTTCTCATTCTGTGTATGGCTTAGCATTTCCCCCTCGTTTTCTAACCTTTAATGCTATTAAGATCTATTTATTCATTTTTCTAAATCACCTAGTCTACTATTTTGGGAAAATGCTGCCTAATGGTCACACCTGAATGAAATTCTATTCTTATTCACGGTATCATTGAATTATCGGCACCTGATTTTGTTGCGTTTTCGATGAATAAGATGGTCTGTTTTCAGCCTTTCTTGTCGTGTTAGGAATGCTTTATGACTCGGGGAATTGTCAGTTGCTGCAAATGAGGTGTGTGTGCTTGAAGAGGGCTCCGTTGTGTGTAGGATTCTGCAGATGTCCCTGGGAAGACGTGCTACTTGAAACCTGCGTCTACCACCCACACACTTGTATCAATAACGATGGTTTCTCCCTAGGTTTCTAGACTCCGTTTTGGAAATATTGTAGACCCAGAGAGTAGGAGCCTATAGTCTGTGGATCCCCCACCCCAGGTGCCCTCCAGTTACCACCAGGGTGGTCCCTGTGGGTCCTATGCCCCACTGTCCCCCGGGTTAACATCTCCCATTACTAAGACACAGATGTCCCAAGGGCTCACCGACCCTGGGGGATCACTAACACAGACTTGGGTGCTGACTGCAAAGGGCTCCGTACCCCTGGGATCGGGCACAGTGACAGGCTCCCTGGGCTGCGGGACTCTCTCAGCCAGAGTTTATTCTCACAGTCCGGGAGGCTGGTCCAGAGGTCTCCTCGGGTGGCTGTACGTTTCCCAGGCCACCACAGGAGAGGGCCTGTGGCCTGGCATCGTCCCGAGCGGTGGGCATGACCAGTGCTGTGAGTTGAGCCACGTTTGTGGGTGACCAGGCTGTTCCTTCAGAGTTCAGTGCTCAGCCTCCTGGTGAGGAGTGACGTCCAGCGACTCTCCAGCCGCTAACGTCCCACCGCCTAGCTCCTCCCCAGCGTCTGTTCTGGTCTCCTGCCCCTTCTCACAGACTTGTGGTTTCTGGGTGGGGTCCGGGGTCCCTCCAGGCTTATCTCTCCCCGGGCCTCCAGCTGTACAGCCTCCTCTGCTGAGCACTGCTCTTCTCCCTGGAGCTCTTGACAGAAGGCAGCGGCGGTGTGTGAGGCATAGCTCCTCCATCAGTCACTGAGGAGACCATTACCGTCCTTTGGGGGCGTCTGTGCCGGCTTCTGTGTCCAAGGTGCAGGTGAAGTGGGATGCTGTGCTGGCGTCTGCTGGACTATCCCACGCATCCTCCCCCATGGAGATCCTCCGGTCATCACCCACAGCCTGGGAGGGCAAGCCCGTGCCTGCTGCAACTGCCACCGTCTTTGTGTGGCAGCTGGTTGTCCCAGAAGGCTGTCTGCCCGCCCGGGGAAGCTTCTCTAATGCTAACCCTGGGGCTCTGTGGGGCTCCCTCCTGGCACCCCCTGAGCTGGGTCGCAGGCAAGGCGTGTGGACAGCAAGGCCAGCGCAGGTTGGTGTCCGAGTCACCACTGCTTTCAAGCCCACGTCAGTGAGGAGAGGACAGGAGGCAGTTGGGGGGTCCCCAGCCCTCACCCAGGACCAGCACGAGGCTGTGCCAGGCCCTTTCCTTCTGAGTAACTCGGGGCCACCCTGACGTTTCCCTCAGGCTGTCTGATTCCTGGTCCTTCCTGGTCCCCGTCTCTGAGCATCTTCCTCTCGGGCCTGGACGAGATGGCAGCGTCCTTCATTCCTGACTTCCGCCTCATGTGGTACTTGGATGAACTCAAGAAGAACGAGTTCGTGCAGTTTAAGCAGCTGCTCAAGCAGGAGACTGTGCAACGCGGCCTCCAGCCCATTCCCTGGGCGCAGGTGAAGAAGGCCAGGCGCCAGGACCTGGCCAGCTTGATGACCCAGCGCTATGGGGAGCAGCCGGCGTGGGCCCTGGCCCTCTGTATCTTCCCCAAGATCCACAGGAAGGACCTCTGTGACAAGGCCTCGAGGGAGAGCGCAGGTGAGTTGGGGGCTCCTTGGGAGAGCGCAGGGGGCTGGGGCGCAGGGTCTCCAGGGGAGCCGTGTTGGGGAGAGCTGCCCAGGCTTGGGGGGCAGCCTCATCCCCACCTCAGGGGTGGAGAGGGCAGGTGGGCGTGGTCACTGGAACCCCACCCACAGCTGGGAACCGTCCTGGGCCAGCTCCCCCGGGCAGAGGGGACTGGGCAGAGGGCAGTGACTGGGCGCAGACTGCAGCAGCTGACAGCTGCTGTAGCTGGCACCTGGATCCGAGGTTACCTGTCGGGTGTGGTGGGGCGCTTTGGAAGGGCCCTGAGATGCGGGTGCCCAGCGGACTTCAGTGGATGCCCTGGGGGTGCATCATTTCAGCAGGCAGGGAGCTGTGGCCCCTGGGCTACGCGGCCCCCGACGCTCACGGTGGTGCTGCGCCCGGTCCTGCGCCTGATCCGTCTGGAGTCTCTGCCTGTTTGCGCTGCCCGGTGTCCTAGGCAGGAGGTGGTACTGGGGCCGGTGGGGTCTTTCTAGAGTCGCTGCAAGGTGCCCGGATGGGGCTCTTCACGCTGGTCCTGCACGGGTGTCCCCGAGGTCCTGGCCTCTTGGCCAGCCGCCTTCCTCACCTCCAGCTTTCGGGCTCTGCCTGTTTACTAGTGCTTTCCGCCACTGGTGGTCTCCCCGCCTCCCCCAGGACCCGCATTGTACCCTCAGGATAAGGCTCTGTCCTTCCCTGACCTTGGTCCTTCAGGGAGTGACCTTGGTCTTGGCTGCCTTCCTCTGTGGAGTCCTTTGGAGCTCTCTCTTCCTAACCTGAGACCCAGCCCAGCCATCCCTGCTAAATTCCTTGGCATTCATTTGTGCACTTCCCGCGTTCCTGCGGCCCCCTGTGCCCTTTCAACCTCACCTGTCTACCACCTAGTGGCAGGGTCCCCTCTGATGTCACTCAGCACCCCAACCTTCCCATGTCACCAGAGCCTGTGGCAAGTGCAGAGCCGACCCAGCCTCAGCTCAGCCTGAAGGGATTCTAGAAGGCTCAGCCCTTTAGTTGTTTGGCTTTTGATTGGATACTTCTACCTTCTGCTCTGCCAAGGACGAGAAGCCTCACCAGGATGGAGTTGGGGTGAATCCTAGGGCCCTGTCACATCTAGAGCACAGGCTCCCTCCAGGGAGACGCAGGCTGTGCCAGTCTCTTAGACACAGCGGCCAGGCCAAGCCTTCCTCCCGTGCTAACCCTTGTTGGGCAGCACCACAGCCCAGAGGCAGAGTCCTGTCCCCACACAGAGCTCCTGCTTCCACATGGGGAGGCCCCTCCCTGGTTTGACGTGCATTCCACTCTCTTCAGTTGGAAGCCAGCAGGGCTTTGCAGTTCTGTGCTCTCCTGGCAGAGATGAACAGGTGTGTGTGTGTGTGTGTGTGTGTGTGCGCGTGCGTGTGTGTGGAGCTGGCCTGGCAGGCCTTTGACCCTGGGGGCTGTCTGGTTGGTGCTTTAGGCTGTGGCCACAGCCTGCAGGCCCTGAGGACACTGTTTCCCATAGGAGAGATTCGGGTTGAAGCCTTCAGGTTGTGCGGGGGTTGAACTCTGACGTGCTGTGTTCTTCTCTTGCCCCTGCTGACCAGCAAATGCCTATCGAGCTCACATACAGAAGAAGCTCATCAGCATGTGGTCCAGGGGCGCCTTCACTGAGATCCCTGGCTGCTTTGACCAGTCATTGACCTGTGAAGAGCATGAAAGTCTGGAAGAGTATTTCACTCCAAGGGTACCCAGGAGGCCTCGCACGGTCGTCCTCCGCGCATTACAAAGAATGGGGAAAACGAGGTTCCTGATGAAGGTGATGCTGGCCTGGTCAGACGGTACTCTCTATCGGGACAAATTCTCTTTCATTTTCTACTTATGCTGCCGAGAATTGAAGCAGCTGAGGGTGACCAGCCTGGCCAGGCTCATGTCCAGAGAAAGGCCCGATGACTCTGTCCCCTTGGCGGACATGGTGGCCCAACCAGAGAGGATCCTGTTCATCATCGACAGCTTAGAGGAGCTGCAGTGCACCCTGACAGAGCCCGAGTCGGAGCTGTGCCGTGACTGGAGGGAGGAGCGTTCAGTGAAGACGGTCCTGAGCAGCCTGCTGAGGAGGAGGATTCTCCCAGAGTCGGCTCTGCTCCTCGCTGCCATGCCCATGCGCCCAGAAGCTCTGGAGAGCAAGCTGGACCACCCAAACATGCAAGAGCTCAAATGCTTCCAGGACAGCCACGTGAAGCAGTACTTCTGCTGCTCGTTTGAAGACAGGGGCCGAGCCCTGGCAGCCTTCAGCTCGGTGCGAAACAATGAGCATCTCTTCACCATGTGCCACATCCCCCTCCTCTGCTGGATGGTGTGCACCTCTCTGAAACAGGAGATGGAGCGCGGGAGGGACCTGGCAGCCACCTGCTGCAGGTCCACCTCTGTGTTCCTCTCTTTCATGTTTCAAGCGTTCACACCCAAGGGTGCTACTCGTCCCAGCCAGCAGGGCCAAGGCCTGCTGAAGGCGCTGTGTTCCCTGGCCGCGGAGGGCATGTGGACCGACACGTGGGTGTTTGGCGAAGAGGAGCTCAGGAGGAACGGGATAGCGGACACTGACACCCCCACCTTGCTGGACCTCAGGCTCCTCCGGAAGTACAGCGAGTCGGGGAGCTCCTACTCCTTCATCCACATGTGCATGCAGGAGTTCTGTGCCGCCATGTACTACGTGCTGGACAGCCCCCGCGACCACCCCAGCCGGGCCGTGATGCCCATAGAGGCACTGCTGCTCACGTACTTCAGGAAAGACAGAGCAAGCTGGGTGTTCCTGGGCTGCTTCCTGTTTGGCCTCCTCCATGAAAGTGAGCAGCAGAGGCTGGATGCCCTTCTTGGGATGCAGAGGTCCCGGGAGTTGGCGCCCCAGCTCCTGGGATGTCTGAGGATCCTGGCGGAGATCGAGGATCCTGAGGACCAGGTGGAGTTCCTGCTGCTCTTCTATGCCCTGTTCGAGGTGCAGAGTGACGCCTTTGCCAGCCGCCTGATGAGCAGCCTCCGCGAGGCCCACTTCCCCCTTCGGGAGAGGCCAGACTTGGCGGTTGCTGCCTACTGCCTAAAATACTGCTCCAGCTTGAGGGAGCTCACTGTCTCAGTCCCAGAAATCTTTCCGGAAGAGAGGGGACCAGACCCCATGTGAGTCCCTGCCGTCACTTTCTTTCCACCCTTTTTCAGAATCTGTGTGTGTGTCCTCACAGGGTGTTGGTGACGGGGCGTTTCACGTGGATTGGGGTCACTGCCTGCCTTTTCTGTCCAGTAGTCTTGACTCATCTTATATTTTACTGTATTTTTTTAATTAAAAATATTTTTACTTGGGTCTGGTGTTATGGCTCAGCGGTAGAGTGCTCACCTAGCACCTCCTAAGTGCATACATTAAAAGATATTTATTTTTATGTCCAACTACAACTGGAGCTATTTAATGAAAATATCTTTACTTGTAGATGTTCACAGAGCTTTCTTAATCTCATTTTGACTTGGTGCTGAGCATCCAGCCCTGAGCCCCCCAGGTACAGGACAGTGCTCCACCGCTGAGCCCCAGCCCCTGGGTCCCTTCTCCCTAGTCTTTCCGGGGTGCTCGTGGATGGGGCACGTGTGCTCATTCAGTGCACGGCAGCTCTCGTGGGGAGCCCGTGGCCTCGTCCCCGAGCCTGGCCTTTCCTAGCTGCACGGGACTCCTCACCACAGCAGCAATAAGGACTGAACTCAGGGAGGAGACCAGGCTCCCTGGGATGCGTTCCCTTCCCTTCCCTTCCAGGCCCTCGGCAGGCTTCACCCTTGGGTCACTCCCTGGGACCAGGCTCCAGATCCCTGTCCTCCCAGCTGAGACTAGTGCTGTTGTGTTCTGAAACTCCTGGTTGACTCCGTCAGCCACCAGGTGGATCCTCCTGCTGTGGTGCTGCAGGGAGGAAACGGGACAGACAGTTCACGTCAGCCCACCAAGATGGCAGGGTCAGGATGGGGCAAGGGCCAAGCTGGAGGCCAGGAGATCTGGCTGGAGGCTGGCTCTGGCCTCCTGCCTCCTCTTTCCTCTAGACAGCCTCCACTGGTAACAAGGGAGGGTCTCCAGCCCCAGGACCTTGGTGGCCTGGGTGGGCTATGGCCTTGCTGTGGGGCTGTCCTGAGCTGGAGGATGCTCAGAGGCATCCCTGGCCCTGCCCTCTGGTGTCAGGAGCCCTGGCCCTTGGGCAGTACAGGCCTGAAAGGCTGCAGTGTGGCCAAGGGTCCTGGCCGAGAAGTGACGCAAGAGGAGAGCTGACCTCGTTCTCCCCGTCTTGGGGGTCCAAGCAGCTGACACTGTGCTCAGAGGCTGTGACTGCCTTGAGCTGACCTCTGTGGAGAACCTCTCGTCTCTCCTGTTACAGGTCGAGCCGTACTCTCCTCTGGTGGCGCCAGATCTGCTCTGTGCTCACCGCCAATGAGCACCTCCAGAAACTCCGGGTGGTGGACAGCGTCCTCGGCAAGTGGACGCTGCTGATCCTGTGTTGTCAGCTGCGACAGTCCACGTGCCCCGTGCAGAGACTCGAGTGAGTTGAAGATGGGCCTGGGGCGTGGAGACTGCTGACCTCCCTGCCAGCCTGAGGTAGAGGCTGGACCCCAGGGAGGTGTCTCGAGCCCACCGCCCCTGCTGCCCGGGAAGCTCTTCCTTGGTGGTCGCCCTGTGCCTGATTGTGGGGTCACAGAGGCACCCTGGGCTCTGCTTCCTCTAGAAGAAAGGAGGACCCCATGGCTTCCTCTAGTTCTGCCAACCACACCGTCTCCAAACGTGGCCTTTGGGGGTAAACCCACCCAGGCAATGGGGTCGTGGGAGTGGCCCGTGGGTCATTTATGGCGCAGAGGTGACCACAGCAGGCGTTCACGCTGTGCTGCTGGAGATGGGTGGACCACAATCATCCAGAGTCACCTTTGCTTTTGCAGGACGAGAAAAGTTTGCTTTTCCTGTGAGACCGGGATTTTCTTTGAGGTGTTCACCAGTAACCCCAACCTGCAACACCTGAGCATGACCTCCACCCGGCTCCCCCAAGATGAGGTCTTGCTCCTCTGCAGGGCCTTGAGCAACCCAGTGTGCAACCTTCAGGAGCTGCTGTGAGTGCTGCCCGCCAGCCTCGGGGTGGGTTCCAGAGAGGACTGGGCTGCGTTCACGTGGGCATCTCTGTCCTACTTCCTGCCCCTTGGGTACAGAGGTCTGGTCTCCAGAAAGCGAGACCAGGATAGGGACGTTAGTTTTACATCGATACGGGCACTGTGCAAAACCCCAGTTCAGCTGTGGCAGAGTCTGGTGCACAACGTAACCCAGGAGAAGTGCTTCAGGTGTTGGTGGCTCAGTTTGGAGAGAGAGGGACACTGGAACATTTAGGGCAGGACCCCCTAAGGCCTGAGAAGTGGAAATTTTCCTCAATGGACAAGAAACCTTTGGTTACATTCTCCGATCCCATGGGATTGGCCTACAAGCCCAGGTAACATTTTGGACAAATTTCCAATATTATTGGTGGAAAGAGTCTAACTCAGGAGTGGACCACAGGGTTTCATTCTGAGGTTTCAAGATGGGAGACTGTGGTGTTAGAGGCCTGGTGGTGCTCACCTCTGGTGAAGGGCGGAGGCAGGAGAGGCTGGGTGCAGGCTTCGCGATGTGCGAGCCGTCTGGTTGGCACACAGCCCCGCTCTGAATGGTCTCGGGGACCACCTCTTGTTTCTGTGCTCCCCTGTGTGTTTTGTGTAGCCTGGGAGAGACCATCGCCTAACCCAAGGTCTCAGATCATTTTCTGAACTTGTTCATTGTTAGGAAGTTTGGTCTAATATGTTCTCCTTGTTGATGAGCTTTTACTTTTAGGTGGCGCTGAGATTCAAACCCAGAACCTCACACATAATAGGCAAAGGCTCTACCCCTGAGCTGCAACCCCAGCCCTATCATTTAGACTCTGAGGTTTCAGTCTGTGATCCATTTTGAATTAATTTGGAGGTATGGTATGATGTGGGTCAAATGCTATTGTTTTCACTTCTTGAAAATATCTTCAAGCCACAGGCATCTTTAGACCCAGGAGCTGCGGCAGAATCACCCTGGAGAAATGTCAGGGCTGTGGTCAGAGGCTTGGCGGTCATACCTGCATTGACGTGCACCTGTGTAGGCTGTGCATATGTCCATTCTGTCATCCGGGGGCTTAGCGCATGTGTGTGCCCACGCGCAGGGACAGCCCCTGAGATGGGAGTCACAACTACAGGCAGAGACCCCACCTCAGGCTCAACTCTCCCGTGGGATGCTGTCTAGGAGGCGTCACCTGTCCTGGGGAGGAGTGTCGTACTCTCCCTGAGCAACGCCAACCCCACCCTAGTGGGGCACTAGTTGGAAAGGAGTCCTGCTGGGGACAGCATCCTGAGTCCTCCAGGAAGACTGCCTGGTGTGGTGGGGGCACAGGCTGGGGAGCAGGAGGGGCCTCGCAGGACACGGATCCTGTGTGGGGCTGCCCTGGGGTCGGGGAAGTGACTTGGGGTGGGTAAGCACAGAGTGACTGAGTCTGGGCCGAGCTGTGCAGACGGGGGTTGGGGAGTGATGACAGGATTCCCCAGGAGGCTCCGTGAAGGACAGGCCCTCGCAGGACTAGCGCCAGGGGCCAGTCCAGACAGGGAAGCCCAGAGCACGTGGTGTCCCCTCCCTGCAGGCTTAAGGACTCGGGCCTCTCCGCTACGGATTGCACAGCCTTGGCCTCGATGCTGGCGACAAACAGGAAGCTGACGCTGCTGGACCTCAGTGATAACAAGCTGGCAGAGGGTGTGTCCACACTGTGCGCGGCCTTGCGCCACCCAGACTGCACCCTGCAGACACTGGTGTAAGTGGACTGGGGTGGGCAAGGGGCATGCAGGATCCCGGGTCGCTGCGCTCTGTCCCCCAGCTGAGACCGCAGCAGCCCTGGCAGCAGCTGAGGATCCACGGCTCGAGGTCCAGCCCCGGGTCTGCTGCTCTCCATCACTGACTGGGCCTCCCGGCTGCGGGCTGCCCCTCTGTGAACGGGCGCAGAAGTGGCCTCTGTGGGGACCCCGCTGCCACCTCTGCTCTGTTCTTTCCTGTACCCCTGGCTCTCCCAACGTGGCAGAGCGTTCCTTGTAAGAAGCCATTAGAACCTGCTAGGATTCTCGGGAGAACCGGACAAGCTGAGGATGTGGTACCTGAGATGACCCATGCACGTCACCCTGCACGTCACCCGTGCTCTGGGCAACAGCCTCAGGGGGCAGCAGGCTTGTCCCAGGACGGGGTGAGATGCAGAGTCAGAACTAGAACTGACAGATTCTGGGCATCTGAGCTGTGCCTCTCACCCCTGGTTTTCTCATGAGGCTCTGTGTCGGTTTGGTTCCTCCTGCCTGTCTCATGTGGGTAAGGAGCAGTCAGAGGGGAGATTGGGTCCCACTGAGTTCGTACACAGGGCCACAGAAAGACCACCTTGAGCGCAGGTGAGCCATCCTTGGGCCCTCGGCCCTCACGTGACCTGCTGTCCCCTGCTTCCCCCCAGGATGGCCGGCTGCCAGATCTGTGAGCACTTCTGCCCACACCTCTCTGAGGTTCTCCTGAGCAACGCAAACCTGAGCCATCTGGACCTCAGCAGAAACGCCCTGATGGACGAGGGAGTGGCACAGCTGTGTGAGGCCCTGCGACAGCCCACCTGCAGCCTGCAGACACTGTGGTAGGCCGTGGAGGTGGCCTGGTGACCAGGCCCTGCCCCTGGCTGGGGAGGCACCCTCCTCAGGAAGGACAGTGTCTGTGCCTTTCCCAGGGAGGCTGAAGGCGTCAGGCGGAGGTTCGGGTGGAGATGTTCCTGTGAAGCACAGATGCACATGTTGGGGCAGGTCCTTCAGGGGCGTAGGGATGGTGACCCAGGAAGGGCCCTGTGGTGGGCAGAGCATTGGCCTCGATGACTGGCATGTGTGCCCAAGGTGAACCTGTGTCATCAGGAGGGAAAACAGAGCCCACCCTCCAGGGGAAACGTGGCGATGGGGACCCCAGCATCCGTGTGAGGATTCAGGCTGATACAGCCAAGGAGCTTCCTGACAGAATCCCGGGAAGCGGGAGGGTCAGCGCGTCCTGATCAGGTGCCTCCCTGAGAATTCCAGGCTCCAGGGAGTTAGGGGGGAGGTGTCACCTGATCCCTTAGGAAATCTGAGCGTGAACCTCGTGGTCCTGGCTGCAGGGACGTTAGACGCCATCGTACAAGAGCAGGAGAAGCGATCTCCCTCCTGCAGTGGTGGGTTGAGCTGCCGGTCAGTCTCTGAAAGAAGCCCACTCCAATGTCAGCACAGTATTTAAAAATGGAAGAGGAATAAACCCGAGTTGTAGTCTAAGTGCAGGTCACGTGAGGTTCTCCCCAGGTCCTTCAGACTGGATCCAGAAACAAGAATCCCAAACTAGTGTCGGCCAGACCCCCGGAAAAATCCATGGAACAATCCTCTGTGGGGGCAGATGATGGAGGACATGAGCCGTGACCTTGACATACTCCAAATGGATCTTCCAAGGTCAATAAATTCAACCCACTGAAAAGAACCTAAGCTCCAAGGAGATAAGGAACACAGACAAGAGAGAGGTCCCCCAACCTCAGACTCGTGGGCCAAACCGTTGTGTGTTCTGCTTCAACAAAAGAACACCTTTCAGCTCTTAGGAACAGGGACCCCGTGGAAGCAGCAGATAATGGATCACCTAGAGATGAGGGTCAGTGTTCACCTCATAGATGATTTGCACAGTGGGTTAGAACTAATGGAAGAAAAAGAGTGGCCAAAGATGGGGCACACTTGTGCAAGAGGTACCGGGGACTGAACCCAGGGGTGCTCAGCCACGGAACTACACCCCAGTCCTCTTCTCAAACTTGTTCTTGACCTAGAACTGGGACTTTCTAAATTGACGAGGGTCTTGCCAAATAGCCGAGGCTGGCCTCAAACTTGGGATCTTCCTGCCTTGGTCTCCCAGAGCACTAGGGTTACAGGCGTGAGGCAGTGTGCCCAGCTCAACATTGTCTCAATTGCCAAACCACAGAGATGCGGGGAACAGGAGAGAAGTAAAGAAACAGATGGCACCGACAGCCGAAAGGGCCAGAAGAGTGCAAGTTCGTTGCTACTCTCTGCAGAGGGCCACTTGTATCCACCTTCTCCCGCAGAGCGTGGTGCCGGCCCTGCATGCTGTGTGAAATGTTGGAGTTGTAGTACACAAAGGTGAAACTGAGCAGGGAAGTTTAATCAGTTTACTGGCTGGATCACGTGGTGGCACACTCTCGTCATCCAAGCGGCTCAGGAGGCTGAGGCTCGAGGATCAGGAGTTGATCAGCAAGTGAGCGAGGCCTTAAGCAACTGGGTGAGACCCCGTCTCTAAATAAGAAGGGCTGGGGAAGTGGCTGAGTGGTTAACTACTTGAAGGTTCAGTGTCAAGTCCCAAACCAGTTAATAATACAGCTTACTGACCCGTGTATCAAGTGCTATGGCTCCAGTATGTAATCAGCAGAAGAATTCGTGAGGCACTGTACATTTCTGTCCTGAGACTCTTTACCTGGCTTACACTCTGGCGCATCTCGGGACAGAGGAGCCGCCGTCCAGTGCTCGGGGATTCCTGTGGCTGCAGGGAGCACTGCAAGTCTTCACCAAGGGGAAGAGATCCTACACCTGCCGGGGGTGACCTGACGGGGTGTTGTGGGCACCTTAGCACCAGGAACCTGACAGATTGTTCCAGACTCGGTCAGCTTCTAGAAGAGCATGACGTGAAGAAAACTCAAGGAGAAAACCGTGAACGCTTCCAAACCACGCGCACAATGAGATCCGCTGCCCTGTGTGGCTTAGAAAGAAGCTTGTGCCAGCGAGTCTCACTAAACCCTCAGGGAAGAGCAGTTTTGTCAGAGTCTTTGCAGATGGCAAATAGAAGAGAGCCCCACGTGGACACTGGAGGACACGGTAGTCTTGATAGCAGCGACAGCTGGACGGTGGGAAAGGACAAGTGCTGTTTCCAAAGTGCTGATTCCAAACCTCTGTTGAGGGAATTCACCCTGATTTGTCCTAGCATCAGAAAGGACAGGGGGAGGGTGGGGCTCGCAGACAGAGCTTAGGCTGGGCAGCTGCAGGGCCCTGGGCCCTTCCCCGCCTCCCAAAGGAGATGCTTAGAAAAAGGTCAGTGCGGGCAACTCTCTATACGAACTGGTTAAAAGTAAAAATCTGCCTAAAAAAACAGAATGTCTGCATTAGGGACCTATCCCTTCACTATAACTCTTGGAAAATTATGAATGTTGGGAACTTCCTCGACCCGGTGAAGGAAGAAGTTCATCATGAAATCTCACTGTGCAGGTCCTCGCGGCACTGGCTGTGGTACTTGGCCTCTGTCCTGATGCCTCTTGAATATTGCAGTGCACCCCCTGAGAGCAGTACAGCTGTCCCAGGGCCCCAGGCTTCGGTCACCTCCATACCTAGTGTCTGCTTCTTGGTTCTTCCAAGACGGGGACCATCACACGCTCCTTCCAGGACATGGTTGTAACGGTTCTTAGTTCTGGTTCTTCTCTCCCTGCGCCTAGTCTATACTGAGCCGTTTGGGCCTCCTCCAGGCCTCCTCCAGGCCCTGGATAACAGGTCTCTGTGTTGGCTGTTGCCATACAGTTTGCAGAGGTGCGGGATCACGATGAGGATCTGTCAGGACCTGGCTCTCGTCCTTGAGACCAACCCAAACCTGAGAAGCCTGGATGTCGGGGGCAACAACATAGGAGATATCGGCATGGCGTTCCTGAGCGGAGGTGTGCTGCACCCCCACTGCGGCTTAAAGGAACTCAGGTGGGTGCTGGGAAACGGCAGGTGCATCCTCACGGTGGCAGAAGGACAGGCTGATGGGCAGGAGGAGACTGTGGGGGCAGCCGCACCTGGCTGCTGCTGCACACCCATCCACCCCACTGCCCGAGGCTGCCTGAGCGCTCACTGCTGGCTGATCCTGGCTGGGAATGGCTGGTCTCGCCCTGGGCTGGCCGGGCAGGCTGGCTGGCAGCTGGGGATGACAGTGAGGCAGCCCACGTCTCATTTAATGCTTAGTCCAGCTTCTGACACAGCATCTGCATGTGTTCATCAGGCTGCGCTAGCAAAATGCACAGACCAAGAGACGGAGATGCCCTGAGCGCAGGTGGCTGGGTTCTAGAGGCCCCTGGAGGCCGGAAGTCCAGCTCAAGGTGCCCAGGGCTGGTTCCTTCTCAGGGCCTGCAGGGAGGACGGCTCCAGGCTGCTCCTTGGCTCCAGGTGCCGCCTCCTCCCTGTCCTCAGTCTTCCCTCTGGGCCTGTGTGGGCCTGGACTTCCTGTTCCAGCGGGGAAACCAGTTAGAGCCCGTTGGGGTGCACCCTCAGTGCCTTCACAAAGACTGTCTCCAAGTGCAGTCACACCTGGGGCTGGGGTTTCAACACGGCCCTCTGAGGGGACAGAGTGCAGCCCTGAGCAGCGCCTTGGGGGTTCCACGAGATCAGGAAGCGTACCAGGCTGGTGTGTTGGGTCCCCCCTGTCCTCCCAGTGTCCAGGGAGCCTGAGGCAGGAGGATCACAAGTTCAAGGCCAGCCTCAGCAACTCTGGAGAAGTTCTCTCCAAGTAGAAGGGGCGGGGGATGTTGGGCAGTGGTAGAGCGACCCTGGGTTGGAGAACCAGTGCAAAAGGAAGAGAAACCTAGCAGGCATCTGAGGGGAGGCCCAGAACTGCAGAACCTTGCTTCCAGGGTGCCCGGTTACTATTCAGAGTGAGGTTCCCAGCCCTGGTCCCTGTCCAAGCGCCGGGGAAAGGACTCCATCACAGAGGAAGGGGGATGCCCAAGGGCTGCCAAGTGAGCCTGGGCGGTCTGGCTGGAACCACCCAGGGCCGCTCCTCACATCTTCCCTGTTGCAGCCTGGATTCCTGCCAATTGACCAGAGAAGGCGGTAAGATCCTGGCTTCCATCATCGCCTTCAGTAAGAGTCTGAATGAACTGGACCTCAGGGGCAACCCCCTGGACAACAGCACCATTCGACTGTTGTGCTTGGCCACGTCACTGCCCGGGCGAGTCCTGCGGAAGCTCAGGTGAGCTGCATGTCGTCTGTGTGGGCTCCCCTGTGCAGCTGCTGGGTACAGGCTCACTGCTGCCACATGCAAGTGAAGCTCCTGCCCAGGTGTCGCAGGAACACAAAGGTGAGTTTAAAATCCATTCCCAGCAGCAGGTGGGAAGTGGGAGCCCATAAAGGGACTTGGCACCGTAACACAAGTCGCACACATTACATTTGTAGATAAAACGTACATTCATGCGGACGGGGGTGACCTACAAGTCTTTGGCTTCACAGTGGTGCAAAGAGGCACCCGTGCACACGGTTCCCCCTCTCGGTGCAGAGTTCAGCAGTGTGTGAGGTGTCCTGTGCGCCATTACCCAGGAAGCTGGGTGCTGGGTGATTGCCCGGCGGTAGGTGAGGTAGGTGGAGCTGTGGGGCTCAGTCGGTCAGGCTGTGAGGGGGGTGTGTGTGTGTGTGTCTGACAACGTCTTCAGCCTGCCGTGGGGTCGTAGCCTTTTCGCTGCTGTGATTAGAACACCTGACAGAACAACGGCAGAGGAGGAAAAGTCCATTTTGGGGCTCACGGTTGCTGGGGTCTCAGTCCCTAGAAGGCCAGCTCCCTTCGTCGGGGCTCGAGGTGAGGCAGGGCGTCATGGTGGAGGAGAGTGGCTGAGGGAAGCCCCGCACGTCAGGGTGACCAGGAGGCAGAGACGTCCCTCTCCAGACACAAACATCTACCCCAAAGGCAGGACCCCGAAGGCCACCTCCTCCAGCCCCACCCTTGGCCTCCAGTCACCGCTCTGCTAACCCCGTGGGGGTGAATTCACTGAGTGGGTTGGGGCTCCCACAAGCCAATCATTTCTCCTCTAATCCTTGCATTGTGTCGCCCGTGAGCTTCTGGGGGACACCTCACATCCGAACCCTACACACTGGCTAATCAGAATGCCACCCCACCGTGACCTGAGAAGGATCTGTATTTACAAACAGAACTTCATATTTGGAAACATTATATTTATAAGTTATGTTCATATAGACCTAAATTATACAAAGGTGTAATGTATATTGACTTGTGACATTGACAGTTATAAATACATCATTCCCATTACACTATATAATTTACTCCTAAACACATTATGAAACAGTGTAATGGGATACACCATTTACACACCACTCTTCTCCACCCTCAGGACCACAGCAATCCCAGGCAGCTATCGGCCCCCGGCTTCTAGAAAGGAGCCCGTTGACTTAAAACTGTAACCCCCCGCCCCAGTGCGCAGTGCTCCTCCTGTGAGGACCTGGTGCGTAGTGTGCAGTCTACCCTCGCACTGTGGGGGGACCCTTGGGTGCTGGGCCCGTGGCTTTCCCTCTGGACCTTGGCTAGCCATTCAGAGTGTCGAGTGCGGGGGGCCGATGTCGATGGGTGGACCGACTTGGCTGTGTGTCCTGAGCCTTGGGGGTCTGCGTCTCAGTTCTGGCCCCATGTGTCCAGCTCGAGGCCTGGGCAAGACTCTTGTCCTCTCCAATTACCATCTTCTCTCTGCCAAGTAGCAGTAATGGCATGAGGTGGGATCGAGGATGTACATCCAGTGACACAAGTACGTTGGAACTAAATGCCAGCACTGCTCTCTTCCCACTCCCTGGAGCGTCTTGCCAAGATGCGCATTGAGGGGACAGTCCATGGGGACAGGTTCACGCCAGGGAGTGGCATACAGAGGCATCTCAAACAGGAGACACATGTATCCACAGAAGAAACAGGACACAAGGGCCCCGAGCCTGTCATATCCGAGTCAGTGTGTCCTAGGGTGCAGGTGGGGCCCAGAGAATCACTGGGCCTCGGGTCCTGCCTGCACCGCGTCTGGTCACTGGCTCAGAGCTGACGAGGTTCAGCGTCTTGCTCACCAGTCGTGGGGATTGGTGTCCTCAGGGTGGCTGTGAAAATGGAACAAGATGTGGTGGGACACCCAGGCCACAGAAATTATTACCATTTTGTCTCTTTAAAGCATAACTCCAAATCCATTGGCTTCTCGCCCCCAAACCCCGGGTCTGTGTGTGCCTGTGTGTACGTGTGGGTGTGCACGCGTGTCCGTGTACTGGGGCTTCCAACAGCAACTCTGGTCAAAGGCGTCTAACTGGCAGTTTGAGATCACATGTGGTCCATTTGGAGAGTTGACGTCACAGAAATTGGCCAAGCGACAACTGGGGTTTGGGAGGGTGGAGTCCAGGTGTTGAACACTCACCAGCCACCTCCTCTCATCACGGGGCGTCTGTCCCTTGGAGCATCGCCAGGATCTCTGCGCTCTGCCTGGAGGAAATTAGGGACAAAGGTGAGATTTTCAGTGTGACTGACACAGGGCTCTTTTCTGTTCTGCAGAGTGAGCAGGGCTTCAACAGAGGAAGGTTTCTGGTTCGACTTGAGACAGGATAACCCACTTCCCTGCGAGATCTCCATGGATTAGTGACGGAGCACCCATGGGGAACCAGGCTGCAAGCCCATCCCCGTCACCCTGATTCCCGCCACCCTGATTCCCGCCCCCTCCTGGGGACAAGTGCAGGGGACAGCGGGGCCTGGCACAGAGGTGTCCCCTCCCCGAGGCACTGAGCTCCTTCCCTTGTGTCCTGCAGGGTACGATCTTTAATTTGTTCTGTGGCCTTGGAGAAGAGCTGAAAGGGTAGAAGATTTAGTGAGAGGGTCTGTCTCCAAGGACATTTTCAAAACCCAATAAACTATCCTATCTTTAAAGCACTTGGGAAACCCTGAGATGGAATTTGTGACTGCTGAATGAGAAGCAGGAGCGCGGGTTACACATGGCCGCCTCTCAGGTGACTTGGGAAGGCGCTGGCCACACTGACCGCCTTCCTGACAGTTCTTCTTGGGGTCTAGGGGCTCTTTTCTTCTCTCTCCTGACAAAGGCTTTCTGAAAACACCTTTCCACACAGTCCTTCCACCTCACACTACAAGTAGAGGCAAACCGACCTGTCCCTCCCTGTCCCTCCCTGTCCCTGAGCCTCAGGCAGCCCTGTCGTGAGATGGGTGCACAGCCTCCAACACCTGTCCTGTGCTCAGCTGCGTCCATCAGTGACCGCACTGAGCTTTTCATGCCTTACCAAGACCACGCTGTGGACACGATGCTGCAAGCCCCCTTCACTGTTAGTGTATCCTGTGAGCACAGATGTGCACTTCAAAATGGTGCACTTCAAAATGGTGCACACCTGTCCTCCCAGGGACTCGGGAAGTGAGGCAAGAGGCTGGAGAGTTCAAGGCCAGCCCCAGCAGGTTGGCAAGACCCCGTCTCAACAACAACAAGGGATGTTGTGCATATTTTCCACAATAAAGGGGGGAGGGGGCTGAAAATCATGAAAGGATGATTGGAAAAGTAGAATGTCCCATGTAAGTGGAGAGCAGTCCACCCGACCAGCACAGGGGCTAAACTAAAGGTCGCTTGCGTGAATTTACTAGGGACACCAAATAAAACAGACACACAACTTACCTTTAAATCAGGCTTCAGTACGGCTCCTCCGCTCTTGGCCTCAAGCTCCCCAAATGGGACACTGAGGAATGTCACCAGAGGCCAGCGAGAGAGGGAGCACTTTCAAAAGTGCAAATTCCATCCAAAAAAGGTCAAGAGGGGCACGGCTACAAGGACAGGTCAGGTAATTCAACCCCTGGGCTGTGGGAGTCCACACCTACTCAGGAGGACACCTGCTGCTGCTTCCAGGAGGGGCAGCGTCTGCCAGAAAGGCTGCTGGGGACAGGAAGGAAGTGAGACCCTCAGCTCCCACCGAGGAGACGAATCGGCTCAGTGTGGAGGAAGGCATCAATGGAAGGCCCACAGCTGACACTTGTAGAGGCACATGCAGGGCCAAGCGCCTGACATCGTCTGGGCAGAAAGTGAGGCCCTAATGGGCCCTAGGAAGGAAACTGTCTGCCAGGGTGAGAGGGAAGAAGGTAGCTGTCCCCTGCCCCCGGACACTCAGTGCTCCCACCTGTGCAGCCCAGCAGCTGCCACCCCACCCTCCCCTGGGCTTCTAGTGACCTGTGGGCAGGTAGGCGGGCTCTCACGTCCACGGTGCACAGAGCTGGACAGCCAGGATCAACTCTCCTTGGTGCAGAGCACGTCACACAGGGCGCTTGAGGTGACATACAAGCAGGGACCAGGAAAGGGACTTGAGGACAGTCTCCCATGGAGCCCAGCAAGGTGGAGGCCCCCAGGGGTCCCCAGCACAGCAGTGCAAGAGCCCTGGAAGGCTAGACTCTGGGCAGTCGTGGCCCAGGAGGCTGTAGCTCCTGCAGAGAGCAGGGGGGCGGGCAGCAAACTCCTGATCCTGGTGCAGACTCTGGCGGGACCAGGCAGGCAGAGGGTGTCCAGGGAGCCCTGACCACCACCTCTCCAACTGCCAGAGAGCTCTCACAGCCCACCCAGGAGGCTGGGAAGAACGCAGGCCTGAAATGGTGGAGGCCACTTAGAGTGACCGCTTCCGCAGGAGAACCCCAGGGAAGTGCCCATCGCAGACAGGAGACTTCGGGAACCAGCCAGGGCAGCTCCAGCCACACCTGCTCAGACACAGCGCAGGCCACAGAGAGTGAGTCAGCCACACGCACCAGGACTTCACCTTTAAGGAATGGCTTTCAGTTGGCAGTCAGAGAGCCACCAGAGAAAGGTGTGAGGAGTGGAAAGGGACAGGGAAACCTGTCACAGATGATCTGACTGCAGAGCTGCAAACCCACAAGTCTCCCTAGAAAACCACCCTGACAATAAGAGAGTGGGCACACACCGCGGCCGGCCAGAGAGCCCCTGACAATGCACAGAGGTCAAAATGCAAATGGAATGAGAAGCAACTACAGAAAAGGCACCTTAGCCCAGGAAGGAGAAGGGAAGAAAAGGAAGTGCCTCCTTTTAACTCAACCATAAGGAATCCTCAGGTGAGAAAAGCAGGCAGTTCCTTCCCGCAGGACCTAGAAGGAGAATTGACCCATTAAGGAAAGAGAGCCCCGCTCCCGCGTGGAAGGCGCCCACCAAGGCGGGCGTCTTCTGTCCATCAGGATCCCTGGAGCTGAGACTCGCGCCCCAGAATGCCACTTGACCACTCCACAGGCATCTCCAGGAACATGCTGGAAGGAAGAGGAAGGAGGAGGAGGAGACCCTGCAGACACTGGGGCCCCTAAAGCCTCCTCCTGAGGGTAAAGGCCTGACAGAGGCACAGACAGGCAGACAGGCGGCCTAGGAGCCAGGCGCAGGATCAGTCCCATGCCCATCTGACAACAGGGCGTCGCTGGCCGGTGGAGGGACTGTCAATAAGTGTCATGGCCCAGGTCTGTTTCCCACGGCATCCACAGGACCATCTCCACGTGGTCAGAGGCGCGAATGCAGAAAGGAGTTGGAACCCCAGAAGCCCCAGCAGGAAACGCCTTAGTGTCTGTACACCCAGGCCCTGGAGAGGACGTCCCTACCCAAGATCAAACTTCAAAAGCAACAGAGGAAAGGAAATCATAAAGGTTTTTGAAACCATCTCTATTTCTAAAAAATACTTTAGGCAAAGCAAAGGCCACATGACAAGCTGGGAACTCTATTTCTCTGTCTGATTCATGAGGAGCTCGTCAGTGCTGAGGAAAAACTGAAATGGACTAGAGAAATCAACCTTCCAAGACCTGGGGACCTTGAAGTGCTAATTAGAGAGTCACAGGTCCCATTTCTTAATTATGTAAAAGGGAGAAGACCTCTGCCTTTTACTCTGTTGGTGGGGCTTTGAGCAAACACAGCTGTCAGCGGGGCCGCTGGGGTGCAGGATGGCAGGTCCCTGTGGGGAAAGGTACACGTCCTTAGGATACTTGGGGAGTCCCTTCCCTGGCTTGAGGCCTAAGGTGAGGGCAGGGCAGGGCACTGACCTGCTAATGCCAGGTGACCGTGAGCCAGGGAGGTGGAAAGGCCAGATCTTGCTGGGGCTGAAGCTGCAGGAGGGTAAGGGCGTCCCTGGGGCGAGGGTTGCAATGCTGCTGGGCCCCCAGGCCAGGTCTCCTCTGCTGGTCCCCGTCCTTCAGGGCAGGGTGGGTAAGGGAACGTGGGCGGAGGACAGCTGAGATAGGCCTTAGGGAAGAGGGAGTGCCCTGCTCTGGGTGCTTCCCTCCCTGGAAGCGCACCTCTCCCTGAGGATGACCTGGGCACTGATGCCCTCTGCTGGGTTAGGTGGGGGTCTCCCCAGCCCTGCAGCTGGGGCATGGCCTCAGTGGGCAGGGGCCCAGCTCCCTGCGTGAACGTGGAAGTGTTCAGGGAGCTGCAGTCCAGTCTCCAGGCTGCCCCTTCCTCCCCTAGCCGCTCCACCCAGCAGTTGAGAGCATTTTGTTTTCCAGCGCCCAGGCTTCTGGGTGGTCCTCCCATGGACTGAGGGAGGGGAAACTCGGGAATTTTGGGCTGCAGTTATGATGTGACCTTTTTAACTGATGAAGACGCATTTCTCCTCCTCCGCACCCCGTCAGCCTTTGCTGTGTCCCCCTAGGAAGGCACCTACTCGCTGGCTCCCGCTGGCCTGCTGTGCGCCATCCAGGGCCTGACCCTCGGTGGTCTCTGACATCAGTCTCCCATTGTGGGCGATGGTGAGGTGGTCATTGGGTGAGGTGGCCTCCACTGTCGTGATTTCTAATCCTGGGCCGCCCCTCAGTGTTCACTGAGAGGACAGCGTGGAGGGCTGCCCTCTGCAGGTGTCCCTCAGTCCCCATCAGGTGTCTCTGTGCCCTGGTCCTCTGCACCTGGGTGGGTGCCAGCCGCACTGAGCCTCCTGTGCTGAGGGCAGGGTGGGTGCTGGAGGCAGCCCACCTGCACTGAGGGCTCCAGGCCCTGTAGGGTCCCTCTGCTTTGAGCAGGGCTGTGTCTAATGATGCCAGGGCTTAAGCAGGGTGGTGTCCCCAGCGTCCCCGAGCAGATGGTGCTTGTTTGCTCTTGCACCAGTGGCGGGCCCTCTTCCTGCGTCCATAGGGACATGGGGACAGTCAGGCAGGACAGAGCAGCTGGACACGTCAAGCACAGACATCACTGTGGCCTTGGGTACCACGTCGTCAGTGGTGTTCGTGTGCATCGAAAGTCCCGGACCAGCTGGACACTGTGGCCCAGGCCTGTGATCCCACCAGCTTGGGAGGCTGAGGCAGGAGGACCGCGAGTTCAAAGCCAGGCTTAGAGACTTGGCGAGGCCCCCAGCAACTCAGCAAGACTCTGTCTCTAATCAAAATATAAAGAGGGGCTGGGGCTGGGGTTCAGAGGTGTAGCACCCCTGGGTTCAATCCCTAGTACCCCCACCAACTATCCCCCTCCAAAAAACGAAGGCAGACCAGTTTTTTGGACCTGCTCACATTCTTTGCTCATTTCACGGCCCTGAGCTGTAGATCCTCTCCATGGAGTCGAAGAGACAGCTATGTAAAGTATTCCTCATAAGTTTCAAGTGTATTTTTACCAGTTTGTTTTCTGGAGAGACGTAAGGTTTTATTGATTTGCTGCTTTGGGGGTTTTTTGTTTGTTTGTTTTGTTTTGTTTTGGATTGGGGAGGGGAGTGAGTTGACTGAAGACTTCCTTGGCTTTTCTCCTATTGGATTGAAATGTTCTATTCCACCTACAAATTATTTTGGGATTAAGTATAAAGTAGGAATTCATGAACACAAATATTTCAATCATGAGCACATCTTCCTTTTAAAAAAATTTTTTATTCTGATTTGTTATATATGATGCAGAAGGCATTACAATTCATATTGCACATATA